TTAAGGAAATGTATATAGTTTAATGTCCATATTCTGGTCACAAATGCCAGTGGCTATGACATTTTACTTTTGGGGAAAGCACTGTAGGGATGCAATACCCTGTTGTGCCCCAGGATTCCAGTGACAACATCATAGTTCCAGTTATAATCCTTGTTTTTTTTTAGTTGTAGCAAGAAAATCCTCACTGCTGTTTTATTTGTAATGTAAAAATCTAGCAACAGTGAGTCCAGAAATCTCTGTAGGAGTCCAACAGATATTTGCTTTAACTCTGCACTGCCTACATACTAGGACAACTCAAGGGAATACTGAGCAGATGGCTTGTGTGGTTTTAGTTACTTAGTAATTTGTATTCCTTAAATTTGCAGAATTTCGAAGGTGATGAATTGGAGTTGTCTTATACTAAAAACGGTCAGGATCTTGGAGTGGCATTTAAAATTGACAAAGAAGCTCTTTCAGATAAGGCTCTCTTCCCTCATGTCCTCTGTCACAACTGTGCTGTAGAATTCAATTTTGGCCAGCAGGCTGAGCCTTTCTTCCCGCTCCCTGAAGGATATCAATTTATTCAGGACGTGGCACTGGAAGACCGTGTAAGGGGACCACTAGGACCTGAACAGAAAAAAGATTGCGAGGTGAGACTTTTTATTGTGCTGTTCACATTTTGAAATGGCACTTAGGCACATTGTGCTTTATTTTGGATTGCTCTGTTTGCGGTGTAATGATTTTAATGGATGTCTGCCTTAGGTAATCATGATGATTGGTTTGCCTGGCGCTGGAAAAACATCATGGGTAACCAAACATACAGAAGAAAATCCTGGAAAGTATAATATCCTCGGAACAAATAACATCATGGAGAAAATGATGGTAAGAAACTTTCAGACATTAGAATGAGCTATGTGTTGTCTTTGTAAATAGGGAATGAAACATGTTCTCATGTGTTGCCTAATCAGTCTTTTAAATACGACCCTTTTTAATTTCCTCCCTTTTTTGCTCTGATTGCCCCTTTGCTCTGGCACTGGTGTGCAAGTTAATGTAAAGTGGTAATTGAAGACGGATGGTTTGCTAGTTCCTTCAACAAAGAGCTAGCGGAGTCTAGATCTCTAACCAGTGTTACTGGACTTATTTATTCATACAAGGCATTCAGATGTGTGGGGTACCTCCTTAGGTAATAGGTTATGGATATCTCTGGTGAAACAAGTTTAGCAAATTGCTTGTTTAGTTTTCAGTTCATAAGTTTTAGTTTCCTTTATCTATTGTACAGATGTTTTATCTTCATGATCTTTGGAATAATTGTAAGTAAAACCTATGACAATCTTTTGGTTTAGGTTGGTAATAAAAAGACGACTGATCCTGCCAAGCTAAACTCTTTGCTTCAGAGGGCTCCACAATGCCTTAGCAAGTTCATTGAGATTGCTGCTCGTAAGAAGAGGCACTACATCCTTGATCAAGTAAGTCTTGCTGTAATTACACACTGTTGAATTGCATAAAAAATAAAGTTAACATTTGATCAGCAATGAACATAATCTCCCGGCAGGAAAATCCTTCTGCTAGAATATGTTCCAGTTCACCCTACTAACTTTAGTGAAGAAAGGTAGCTTTACTTCACCTGTAACATAACAGAGGGATGGTGCTTAACCACCTTACACCCGGTCGTTGTAATTGAACGGCTGGACTGTGGCTTTCTGGATGTAAGTGGGCTTTAAAAAAAAAAGTCCTTGCCGCCCCAATACCACCAAAAGAAAGCTCTATCTGGCCCCCCAAAAATGGTTTTTTTCCTCCTTGACCCCCCCCCCCCAAAAATTATATAATACATTTCAGTACAGCGTTGCATTAATGAATAAATGTCAATGCACTGAATACTGAAAAATGGCCTGGACAGAAAGTGGGTTTAACATCTAGGTGTTCAGGTGGTTAAGTTTTTTGTGTAATTGGTAGAACACCAGATATTTGCCCTTTTTCATATAAAATCATGCCTTACTGTTGTATTGTAATGCACTTAAATATAAAGAATCTTTTTATTATATCTGGTTCCAAAAAAAGAGCTGGAGCATACACACCTATGTTTGTATTGTGCACTTATAAATGTTCCTTGTTGTAATGTTTTCCTTTCCTTTCCTGGTAGACCAATGTGTCTCTGGCGGCTCAGAGGAGGAAAATGTGCCTGTTTGCAGGTTTCCAACGCAAGGCTGTTGTTGTGTGCCCAAGTGATGAGGTGTACAAAGAGAGGACACAGAAAAAGGCTGAAGTAGAGGGTAAAGACCTCCCAGAACATGCCGTACTTAAAATGAAAGGTAAGTCTGTCTTAAAACCATACTAGGTGGGGAATTGTAATTAAACAAAGTGGAGTAGAGTGTTTGGGCTTTAGAGTAAATTAATAGTAAGAATTGCCATTATCCTCTTGTGCCAATTATGTCCCTAAACAAGTGTGCAGATATGGACTTCATTTCTCTGATTTTTTTTTTTTTCCTTATCTGCCTGTCTTCTGGGGGATTAGGGATGTATTGAGGAAAAACCATCAACATTCTCTGCAAATTGTTAGCAGCCCTTACATTTCTTTGATAGCTATACTTTAAACAACTGTGCCAGCCAAGACTGGCTTTCTCCTAGATGTTGTATAACCCTACTGGTGAATGATCTCTGCCACACTCGCCCCCCAAAACAGTTTGTGTGTCTTTGGCAATGAGGCTTAATAATATGTTCAATCTTAAACAAAATTAAAATTGCTTCAAGTTGTTTTTTTGTTACAAATTCAGCATTTTTTTTTTTGGTAGGCAATCTTACCCTGCCAGAAGCAAGCGAGTGCTTTGATGAAATATCTTATGTGGAACTGCAAAAAGAAGAAGCTGAGAAACTTGTAGAGCAGTACAAAGAAGAAAGCAAGAAGGCTCTTCCCCCAGAGAAGAAGCAAAACGTTGGCTCTAAGAAGGTTAACAAAAACAAGAATAACAAGTCCAGAGGGGGTATGCAACATGGACATGGTGGAGGGCACAGAGGCCGTGGAGGTGGAGGCTATAATATGCGTGGTGGAAACTTCCGTGGTGGAGGTATGTTAACATTTAAAGTGATGGCTGATAAAAAAAAAATTGGAATGGTTCCTTTCTAGATCAGTTTCTGCAATAATCTGAATATTCGGTTTCAACTAGTGTAGATATCTGTCCCTTATATCTTGACCTATTCACCACTTCACCGTAAGCAAATTGATCTTGCATTTAGTAAGTCTTAAAGTGATAGTGATCCAGAACATTGCTTCTGGGATTTTACGTTGGGAAAGTCCAGTCTTTTTAGTACAGACTGTGTTCCTTTTGTCGGACCCAGTCTCTACTCTTCAGGGTTTTTTTTGCCTGTGCTTCCACTGCCCAATAACGCTCCCCATATACTTTAATCTTTGGGAGGGAATGGTGCATAAGCCCTTAACTGTTTAAATTACGAACCAGTGCTGTCAATTAAATCTTCCCTCGGTAAAGAGCAGCTTTGTTTTTTTAGAGAGATCTATGTTATTTGTTTGAGAGGTTTACAAAACACAGATCACCAGAATAAAAAAGCACATATGTACGCAGTGCTGATTCCTCTCCAACAAGCAGCAGTGGTGACCAGTCTTATGAGACTTGCAGTAAAGCTGCCCATACACCTTACAATTATCTGCAGATTTTCTATGGTCAGATGGAAAAGGTGCAACAGATTCCTCCATCTACGCTAAACTGTGTGGATGGAGTAATCTCCACCTGGGCCAATCTGTTGCACTTTTTCCATCTGACCACAGAAAATCTGCAGATAATTGTAAGGTGTATGGGCAACTTAAGAGGCATGGTACCTTTTTCAATGAACTAAGCAAAACTGCTTTTTTTTTTGCTAGAGCATGGAATGGTCAAAACTCCCGTGCGTTTTTGTTTTCTGCATGTGTCCCACTGCAGAGATTTCTGTTCACTTTTGTCCTTTGCACAACAGTTAGGGGTAATCCCCACTTATCACTAGAGTAGCTCTCCTGGGTTTAGTCCTCAAGGTGCTTATGAATGGTTTGTTGGTATGGGTAAGCATTCACTTCTGCTACATTCTTCCTTGCTTGACTCAACATATTGCCTTTGACACTTTTTAGCTACTGAAATCTAATATCTGTTTGGTATTTCAGCCCCAATGAATCGTGGAGGATTTAACAGGAGGGGGGGCAACATGCCACAGCGTGGAGGTGGTGGTGGTGGAGGAGGAGGAGCAGTTGGATATCCATATCCTCGTGCACCAGTCTACCACAACCGAGGAGGAGGTTATGGTAACCGCGGGAACTATGGCCGTGGAGGTGGAGGTGGAATGCCCAATCGTGGAAACTACAACAACCAGGTAATTGGTAAAATTTGGCATTTTCTTTCGTTACTATTGGCTATATTCCTTTTATAATTGCAATGTTCACTGAAACTTTTCCTTCTTAAATCTGCAGAACTTCAGAAGAGGCGGAGGGAACCGTGGTTTCAAAAACCATTCTCAGGGGTACAACCAGTGGCAGCAACCGGCCGTAAGTATCTCATCTATGTAAATGTAGGAATCACTCAGTAGAAATGGTCTTCAGTATACTGAACCTATTTAAAAGTGAGGCATCCAACATAAGCTTTAGCTAGTATCCTGTCATCCACATATTGTAGGATATTCAAGTCTTGATACTGGATTTCTTGGTATGTAATCTTTATTGGGCTCCTAGTTTAACTAATGGGATGACATTTATAAAAATGTTACACATGACCTAAGCAATTCTTGTTGGCGTCTAAGCTTACAAGCGTGTTAACATGTTAATATTTACCCCTTTTTCTAATTGCAGCAATACTGGGGTCAAAAGCCATGGAGCCAGCAGTACCACCAAGGATATTATTGAATACCCAAATAAAAATGAACTGATACATATTTCTCTTCAAAACCTTCACAAGAAGTCGACTGTTTTTCTTTAGGTTAACTTTTAAAACAAAAACAAACAAAAAAAAAAAAACATTCCACAAGAGGAAGTGCCTGCGGGTTCTTTATTGGTTTTGTTTAAAACATTTGTTTTTAGTTGCTTTTTTGGGTTGCATTTTTTTTGTACATTTTTATTGCAGTTTTAAAGTACTAAGAACCTTAGCATTGTGCACGATAAAGAATGTGTCAGTATTTCAGGGTTCTCTATTTTTCTCTGTAATGTTTTTGTTTTTAATTTCTAAAAAGTAAAAGATATTGCTTTGTACTTGGTGTCATTATTTAGGGTTTGAAGCCCTTCATTGTCGCAGTGCATAGGAAGGAAGTCAGGGTGCTGCTTTAGTGTTTTTTTTTTTTTTTTTTCCGTGGCTCAGAATTTTGTAGTGGTCCTCAGCGTTCAGTCATTCTTTCTTTTTACCTCCATCTCACTAGTTTAGGGAGCAAACTTCCTGGCTTGTTAGATCTTGAGGGCTGTTTCCAGCGTAATGAGGGAATGCACTAAACTAGCTTTCTGAGGAAGATAGGTTGGTGCGTTAATAGCTCTTTAATGTTTTACTTTTCCTGTGGAAACCGCAGAGACTTTAACTTGTGAAGGTTTCATATTTTCTCCATTTGTTAAAACACTTCGATTCTGCAAAGAATAGGCTTGATATGCCTGTTTCTTATTAAACTAAACTTGTTGTAAATCTAGCTGTCTGATGGGATCTGTATGAAGTTAGCTGTGTTTGTATCGCCTACTTACCCTTCCCTTGCAATTTTTTTATTTGCATAGTGTGCTTGTAGTTGCACCATTATTGTAAACTAATTATATTGTGAGTACATTATTAGCTAGCATTTCTTTCTTAAGAAATAATGTCAGTTCTTTATATTTTGCCTGCTAACCTCTAAAGAGGGTGAGCTGGAATACATCGATAGAATTTTATTTGCAATAAATAAAAATGATTTACACTGTCGTGTTTCAGATTGTCAAACGTAAACATAATCCCTACCCCATACAACTGCCACGTTACTCTTCATTTATGCATAGACTTGATTGCAGAAAATCAATGGATTGTGCTGATGTCCATTCTTTCCACTCTAAAGTAGTGGATTGGGATCCCGTCCACTTACAGCAGCCTGGCCTTGCTCCGTATGCACATCTCAAAGGCCATGGCGTGGCACTCGCCTCAGATATACACCTGCTGCTTTATTTTGCTACCCAAGACTTGTTCAAGGCAGTTCAGCGGTGTCCCAACCCTGCGATGAGAAGCATGGTATAAAGTTACCCGTTACATGGAGGGAATGCCACCTATATCTCTGCTGAATGGTACAAAATGCTTTGGAGCACCTGACGTTCTGTGGCTTAATGCCCTTAAGGTAAAGTTTGACAAGCCGTCTCCCGTCTTTTAACTATGGATGGGAGCGTCTCCTATGAACTGACTTGCTAAATAAAAGTACATGCTTGATCATTATTTAACTAACAAGTTTCTGGTAAGTTGTACATCTCCGTGAATCCCTTTTTATAAGAAGGGATCTTCCCTCCCCTCATCTAGTCTGAAATAAAGTACTCTTTAATTTTCGCTGGTGCCTTATTTTAATTTTGTGTGAGCGTTTCTGGAAATAATGGCTGTTTAAAGGGATCAAATCCCTAAACGTTTGTTGTGTTCAACTGCAAGTTTCTATATTAAAGTGTTCCTTGGATGAACAGCTCATGTGAAGAGGGGCTAGTTCTGCCAGTGCTGCAAAAGGTTTTGATCTATGTAGTTCAAGGATAACTAAGGTATAAAAGACTGGTGGGCAGTAACACTTTCATCAAGTAACATTTATCAGAATGAGCTTAAGGATGGTACTCTCAAACGTTGTCAAGGGTGGGATTGGTAGTCGTACTTGAGGAGAAAGTTGGCATCGCTTTAGAAAGGTTCCATCTTGAACAGCCTCTGCTGTAATGGCTTTCATAAATATCAAGGTTATACCCTACCAGTTGGCCTTAAACTCCAAGGGTATTAGGATCAAGTTTTTCCTTACCGCAATCAGCAATAGTTTTGACTAATCGGCACTAGTGTGCCGTCTTAGGTTTTCATTTGGTTCTACTTTTGACAAATCTGGACCTATGTTTAGGTCCTGTGGATGTTGGTGGCTGTGCGGTTTGTGGAAACTAAAATGAACTTTTGGCTGCTTGCTTTATAAACCACTATTGGAATCTGTTCTCCAGTCCAGAGAATGCGTCACAATTATCAGGTGCATCTAGGTGTCTTTGTACATTAGATAGGGGATCAGTGGCTAATCTGCTTGTTTGTGGATGGGAATTGCCATTTTACCTAAAATATATATATAAATATTGTCTCTTTGTTTTTCAGACTTCCCTTTTGCATGATATCACTTAAAAATGTGAGTACATTCTTGCTTTCCCCTCATTTCCTGACCTATTAAAAACATTAAGTGTGGGGGGGGGGGTGTACAAAAAAGTACCACTTTTGCAGACAATTTTGAGACCCTCCCACTGTCTGTTACTATTCACACAGCAAACTTTATTTTATCTTTTTTAGATGTCTGTGTAGCAGGCATTTGGAGCTTCTCTGTACAAGTGACAGAAAACTGGACACTGAGCTTCTTAAACTTATGCTTCTAGTTCTTTTAGCCCTTCGTTCAGACAGAAGTGTCCATATCTAGTTTACAACTAATAAGATATAGAAACAGTTTAAAGGAAAGTAATGTGTAAGCTGCAATTTTTGTCCATGTCGATGGGAACATGTAATATAAAATGGGGTTTATCCAAAATTGGCTGCAAAAATAGAAATATTACAAAATATACATGAACAAATATTCACTGGGAATGTACAAGGGGGTTAGCAATGTGATTTTGAAAATAGATGTAGCTGTGCCTTAGGTCGCGGAGTGCCAGGGTAGGTGGAAAGGTGCCAGCAGTTTGCTTAATATATACAGTGGATGGAATGTTAAAATGTAAGTACAGTTTGTTTAGTGTCTGAAAGGTGGGAGAGCCTAGAACCCTTTTGCTGCAACTGCAACACTGAGGCTTGTCAGAGATGTGAGGGTAACTGTCCTCCCTCCAACACGCCTCCCTGCTCTGCTCTTTAGTAATGGTTGGGCAGTGGGAAGAGGCTTTTCCGGAATGAAAAGGCTGACATTCATATCTATAGTGGGCGGCAGCCTATTGAAAATCTCCAAGGTCATTCTCAACCGATGTGATACTGCAAACTGAGATTGCACTCTCCTGGATTTCATTCTCACAATTGCATTGCAGTGGGCATTGAATATAGCCTGCATGTTGATTGGCAGCCTTGGAAATAACATTGAACACAATACAGTATGGGTTTTCAATTGCATTGGGGCCCAAATTTAAATTTCCCATGGCTAGGGACATAAATTTGAGGCTTAGAGTGCATCTATATTCATCTAACCGTTATGGAGGGTTGCAGATCTGCGGAGGTCAGCACGCAGTGTGCTACTGGTGTCATTGTATCTAATTGTAAAATTATAAGTGTTCTTTAAAATGCTTATATTTTGCTGCTTTTAGTTTTATGCTTTTATTTTACTTTTGGGTAATGTTCTCATTCTGTTTTGTTTTTTTTCCCCCTCCAGTTGCTTGGCTTACTCAATCACTGGCAAGTTGTACTGGTAAGTAGCAAGGTGGTAAGTATATGTTGGAAGCTACGCTCGGCAAGTGTTCTAGCCCCATAGACCTATATCTGGGATGCCAGTATGTCTATTGGTGTTGATCCTAAGACGCAGCTATTACAAACTGACGTTTTCATAGACTTAAATGTAAAGAGAAACAGTTCTACGTTGTCAGTGGTTTTTTCTGAAACTGAAAACTGCGATAGAAACATAGGTCTTTAAAGAATCCACTTAATGTGTAGAAGCGAGAGAGTACTCTTCTGACGAATAAAATGAATACATAGTTTTTGGTTTGAAATACTCTCCTTGTGCAGTGAGGCGAGACAACCATTCAGTATGATGAAACCTAATGTTGTACCAGGAAACTAGATCCAAGAAATGTCACTTTCTTGCCAAGACTAAATTGAATGCTGTGCTCCCATTTGTACTTTCCATCTATTTAATGTAAAATGTCTAACTTCTTGAGATCCTGCTACACTTTATTACACAATTCATTGTACCACTGACATGGGGTGTCACAGGCATTACTGTTTAATGACCATAGAAAAACTATTGTAAATGGAAAACACTGCATTTTAGTAAAAGAAAAATTCCACATACAAGTCTTTTTTTCAATGCCCAAATAACAAACGTCTTTGCATTAGAAGTTGGCATATGTCCATTTTGTCATCTCTGTATGTTACACAATCCAAATGCCATATTTCTTCCTTGCCATGTCCTTAAAGGGCAGATTTGCTGTGTTTAATCATTATGCCTGAGTGTGGCTCACTTTGGAACATAGGTATTGGGAATTTGTGCTTAGGAGTACAGAAATGCAAAGGTATTGATTCCATGCTCTTAGTAAAATGTTGAGGAATGACTTGAACAGCAGTTGATTAGTGAATGGTAAGTGATTGTATTGGAGAAGACTAACTATATTGCCATTAGAATAAACAGTTTAAAACCTTTTTACCGTTGTCCTAAAGAGTGTTGGAATTTGCTTAACTTAAGCTCAAGTGCAGCAGGTATAAACACCGAAACTAAAGCTTTAGTGTGTTCCTTTAAAGCACATGTGTACCTGGATCTGAGTCTTTATCCATTTTTTCCCATACACACACACACCTCACACTAAAATTTGCTTTGTTGCATGTAGTGACAGAGCAAATACAGGTAGGATTAGAGCAGAGTTGTTTTGCTCTGTGGATGCTCCTTCATAGTAAATAGATGGGGAGGCAATACCAGTGTATTCTAACAAAAAGCTGCACACTATTAGCCATACTGTCTGGCAGACTTGTATGCTTTGCCAAAGTGGCTGGGCAGAAAACCATCCCTTGGCAGGTAATAGTTCACATGGGTATTGCCACTGATTATTTAGCCGTTTTTCTGGAGTTCACTTTGTGTTGTCCTCTGCCTTAGGGATGGCAATAGCAAAAATCTGTTTATTTATCAGACCCGGGTTTTCTTTCTAAAATGAAGTTAACTTCATAGCAGTCTTTGTGTAATTGCCTCATCGGTCTGTAGAGCAAAAGTGCCCCTCCCTCTCCATTGTGCACAATAGCATATGAAAATGTAATGAATAAGGGGTATTATGTGATTTAGCAGTAAGATGTGAATTAATCTTCTGCTAACCTGTATAGAGAAAACTACACATGAGACCAGTGGCAGTGGAAAGCAATTGTTTCTGTAATACATGCAGTGTTAAAGGCTATGTACACATTTACCCATATGTACAGAGAAATAGCTGATCTCGCAGATTCCCAACTTGGGCTGACAACCTTGCCTTTGCTGCACTGAAATCCCAGCCGGTGTTAGCACTGCCTGCAGACTCTCAAAGACCCCCCCACACCCATCTGGTTTGTCTTTTTTTTTTCCCCTCTCCACTCTTCACATGCTTAGGTTTTTTTTCTTCTCTGCAATACAGTGCTGCTGACTTGGATACCAAGAGTCTGCCCACAAATGGTTCTTGGGGATGTACTTCTGGAAGGTGGGGGGGTGGTGTTTGTCAATAGGACCTGAGCTCCCAGCAGCTTCCCCTGCAGGAATCCTGCACACCTGGTGATGTCACAAGGAATATTAGTTTCTTAGTACAGGAACAAAGAAAAAAAATGCCAAGGGAGATGGTGAATGAGATTCAACGTTAAATGTGGGTAATGCTTAAACATACAATTTTTAGGCTTGTGATTAAAATCCAGTTTTCAACAATAGTAATCAGTAGATATAAAGATGTAGGCAGTTGAAGGTCAATGAAAATCCTGGCCTGTGAAATCCTTGAGTTTGACATTCCTCACCATCCAAACCTTGCTGTACTGTCCTTAATGTGATGGGAATCCTTACTGAGTCGTTTCAGCGGTTAG